TTTCTGCACTCGCCAAAGGGCCACGTGCCAGGCCTCGCCACGTGGAGAGTGGGTTTCTCTAGATGCTGAGGTCTGCCGTCACCAGAATGGCCACGCCTGGCCCAGGGACATTTCAGCCTGGGCACTGGACACGAGGCCGGATGACCTTCCATTGCAGGTTGCCCTGTGCAGTGCAGGGTGCTTACTGGTGCCCCGGTCACCACGTGGGGAGGACCCCACCGTCTGGCACCCAGAAGGTCTCCAGATTTCCGTGGTGGCTCAGGCTGAGACGAGCCTGTCTGGACAGGCCATCCACCTGGTCCGTTGTGTCTCTCCCAGGAGCTGCTCTGGGCCCAGCCGGGGGGATGGGCGGGGCTAGGGGTGAGGCCGAGGCCCCAGCCACCACTCTGGTCTCAGCAGGAGCTTGGCACCATGTTCCCCCCCGGGGCCAGGCTGCGGGTCAGCGGAGGACGGCACTTCTGCCACATCACGGCCCCGAGCCGAGCTAACGTCCCACACTGCTCCCCTCCCTTCCCTGTACTTCAGCCCTGCCCTCTCCTGCCCCTCCTGTGGCCCCATCCTCCCCTGCCCATGGGGAGAGGTGCGGTGGAGGCCCTGAGGGGGCTGGTGCTGGCCGGTGCGCTCCTCTCATCAAACCTTGTGAACAGGCTGGTGGTCAGAGTGGTCTTTGAGGGGGTGCGGCTGCAGAGCGGCGGGCGGGGGCTGGGGGCGCTCACCTGTTTGGAATCCCAGAGTGCTGGCCGTGCTGGGAAGGCTCAGGCTCGGGCAGGGGGAGCAGAGGTGGATGAGGTGATCCGAGACTCTCCCCCAGCCCCAGGCCACCACCCTTTGTCCCATCTTGCCCGGCTCCAGGCCACCACCCGCTGCGCACCCTGTCACCAAGTGAGGGTGTTTGTAGTTTACAGACAGCTGAGCCGCCCTCGGGATCTCATTCCCGAGGACGTGGCACGTCCCCGCGTACAGCGGAGTACACGTCGGCTTCCTGGATCTCAGGGTCTGGAGGGGAGGGAGATGCGTCGCAAGGACTTGAAATGCGGCGTAGAAGGCCACACAACCCCATAAAGCCAACCAACAGTGAGGCGGGGAGGTCAGGTCTGTACTCGCCAGCGGGGTGACAAGGAAAGGAGGAGAGCTGGCATGACAAATCCCGAAGCAGGAGATGGGGTGGGGGGCGGCACGAAGGAAAGCCCATCGAGGCAGAAGACGTTGGCACAAGACCCGAGTCCCCTTCCATGTCCCCTCTCCGGCCTGGGTCTCGTTTGGACTCTAAGACCCTCGACGAAAACACTGAGTAAAGAACAGATAACCCCTGTCCGCGTCCAGAGTCTGCGCGTGACCAGAACTAACGGGAGGAAGCCCGTCGGATGTGCCACACGCGAGCTGACCTCGGCCACGTCCCTCTTTCTGGACACAAAGCGGAAAGTGTCATTTGTACAAAGATGAGCCTCAGGACAGCCATCCTGCTGTAGGGCACACAAGGACAAATTCAGCGACAGCCGGGTAAGAGCTTTCGGTGGGGAGCTGGAGTGCGGAAGAAAGGTCACGGGAGGCGGCCTGGACACCCAGGGGAAAGCCCGATGCGTCTGGATGGAGCAGCGGCAGGGGGGCACGAGCCCCTCCGTTAACCGACGAGTCATTCGGTTTTGGCGAATGTGTCCCCTCGGTTCTCGCAGAGGGTGAAGAGCTTGTCCTCAGAGCCAGGAGGGAGCAGACAGCCAGGACTGGCCGGGATGTGTGAAGAGGAAGACGACGGTGGGTGTGGGGAAGCTGGAACTTCTGGAACAGGGGTGGGTGCGGGGAACAGAGGCGGCGCAAGCCCCAGCGCTGGCTGCTGTGTGTCACTGGCGGGAGGCACCGGGGCCACGGACCACGGGACCCCACGCGTGTGCTGCTGCTGGGCTGCGTGGTCCCCTCGGTGCCACACAGGAGGGAGCCTCTCGGATCCCTACGTCGGCCACCGCCCCCGGAGATCCACGGCCACGTCCCGCCAGCTCTGGACACCAGGTGCTGCGGGGGCCGGCAGGGAAGCCCCTCCGTGTGGACTCCGGCTCCCTGGGCGACTGAATACAGAGCACACGAGCTCACGTCAGCGTAGCCAACTTGGAGCTGCAAGGATTTACGCAGAAACTTTTTTTCTTTTAATTACTAAGCATGGCTTTGTTTGTTTTTTAAAAGATGTATTTATTTCTTTGAGAGAGCGCACAAACGGGGGGAACAGTAGAGGGAGAGAAAGAAGCAAACTCCCCAGTGAACAGGGAGCCTGATGCGGGGCTCGATCCCAGGACTCTGAGACCATGACCTGAGCCGAAGGCAGAGGTTTAACCCACTGAGCCACCCAGGCGTCCCCTAAGCACAGCTTTAAATCCCATACCCAGCCCTCCCTCCGTCCACCCTGCCAGCCGGTGAAGCCTGTTTCTTGGGCTGGGAAATGGGGACAGGAGCTGTGTCTTTCCTATATTTACGTGAATTGGTGGGTGAGTGAAGTCTGAATGGATGGGAGACACGGACACGTCGTCTAATGTGTGGCTGGCTGGGGGAGGGACGGGAGGAGGGAGGGAGGGAGGGAGGGGTGGAGAGAGGGATGGATGGACGGATAACAATGGCCCAGCGGTCCCAGCCTGAGTACCGTCTTGCCCGGCCCCGCCCCGCTGAGTGTGCTGATACTTAGGTGGGACGAGTACACGCGCAGAACGTTACCTCATTGTTGTTTTCACAGCAAACCACATAAACGTCTGTCCGTGGGGAGCTGGTTCCGTAAGTTTCCCCAGAGCCCTACAACTGAACACACGGCGTCATTACCCACGACGCATTTCTCTGTGGGGGGCGGTGAAGGGAACGCGTGCTCGCGGCGACATCACGGCCTGCCTCCTCTCGCCGGCTGGGAGTGGGAGTGACCGTGGGCGGCCACGGCGGCTACTACTGGCGGGAGATTATTGAGAATTTCTACTTTCTTTTTTTTTTTTGTAGCCCAAGTTAGATTATTTTCACAATTAAAAAATAGTATTTTCATGTTTGGAAGAAACACGGTTTCTGGTTTTTAAAAGCCACATCAAAGTGGATTTTAAGTTCTTCCCAAAACTTCTGCTTCGATTTGGAGCATCTCAACGGCTCCATCAAAATGGCCCCGGGAAAGCCTCTTCCCGTCGGGGACGTCCCCACAGACACCGGGCATTTGCTGTGCAATGCAGAGACCTGACCCCCGCCGCCGCAGAAGGGAGACTCTGTGAGGGCTCCCGGAAACACGTGGGAGGGCCTTCCAGGTCTTGCCAGAGAGTTCTGCCAAAGCCAGGGTGCCCCCGTTCATTGTTGTTGGGTTTCCGTTTGTGCCCAAAGACTGGGTCACCATGGGGGCCGTGGAGGAAATGTGGAGACAGACGCTCCTCCCTCCAGGTTCCTGTGACCCCCGACTCTCCGCTCTGTGCTGAGACCCCCTGCCCAGTCTTCTGCCCAGCCAAGAGCTTTCGCAACCAGCCCGGGGCAGCCACATTCCTGACCCAACGACATCCCTGAACCAGGCATCCTGGCCACAGTCCTGACGGTTGCAAGCCCCCTGCCGCGCGGCCCCCAATCCTTCCTCTGATGCTATCGCTCTGCCTTCTCTGGGTGGTCTGGTCCCAACCCTATCACCGCAAGCAGGTGTCCTGCCCCCGGGGGCCGTTACTCAACAGCTGAAGCACCGGTGGCCAGGGAGCGAGGGGCTGAGGTTGCTGTCCTCTAGATAAGGGACCCCGTCCTCACCACTGGCACAGAAAGCACCCTGGGTGCTGCCATGCCGCTGCTGCTCGTTCGTGCCCCCAGCGTCACTCCCCGCGCTGTGGCAGCAGAGGCTGGAGGGTGTGAGGAACTGGCCATCGGGCCCAGCTCTGAGTCGGGAAGATGCCGGGCCCCCGTGCTCCCTCCTTCCATGCCTCTAGATGGCCGTTTTCCCTCAGTGACCCATGTCCTCCCTCGTCTCTCTTCCCAGATGCTGGGCGCAAAGATTTCTCTGATGGGCTGTCGGTCTCGGGCGTGCTTGGGAGACCCCAAGCCTCCCCTCGAAGGCTGGGGTGAGGGGCTTAGACCCTGCTCACTGACTCCAGGAGGACCTCGCCCCCTCCGCCTGCCCACAGGCTGCCGTGTTTGGCGCGGGGGTCTCCAAGACTAGGGGCCCAGGCTTCTCCATGCACGCATGCCCCGTGGGGTCCCCTGGGCTCACTCTGTCCTCTTCATTGCCCTGTGCCCCCGTGCCCTGGACAAACAGGGCTGGGCCGGGCCACTCAGCACGGGTCCCCTATCACGGCCCTTCATCCTCTGTCCCCGCTGGAGGGGAGTCCGGGTCGAGGTATGCCATCTCCCCAGCGACCTTCCCCCGGGTTCCTGAGGCCCAGTGGCCCCAAGCCAATCCGAATCACTGTCACCATCGACCACAGGCGCTGTTCCGCACTTGGAGCTCAGGGACAGGAGGCTCTGAACGGGGCTGGGGTGTCACCTTCCTGAGTTGCTCTTGGGAAAGATGACACACAGGCTGCTCCTGACACGTGAGAGAAGGAGGGCCTGGGAGGGTATGGGGTGTGGAGGCCTGGGGGCTGCAGCCGGAGGCTGGTTGGCCCACTCAGGGTAGGGCACGGGGCTGGAGACTCTCCCCAGGTGGGGAGGCCCTGGCAGACCCCATAGGACTTTGCACCTGCCCTGACAGGTCAGGCCAACGCAGGGGAAGACAATGTGTCTGCAGTGGGTGAAAGGGGGGATTTGGGGGCAGGCGGTAGGTGGGGAAGCACCCAGGCCAGGCCCGCCCTTCTTCCCCATCCTCCCCTCCAAGGGCATGGCTGACCCAGCCACCTGTTTACTTCCTGTGACCAAGAGATAAAGGGGCTCAAGAGGCCCCCAGAGCAGAGGCCCACGGAGTCCTGGCAAGGTAAGGGTGCTGCCCCTCCAAGACACCTGCAGAAGCTCCCGGCCCTCTCCGTCCCTGAGCCCGGGGCCTGAGTCCCAGCTATCCCTCCCTGCCCTCTCTCCCTCAGATGCTGTGGCTGGCGCTTTCGACCTTCTTCTTGGGGAACTCCATTGCTGGCAGCCCAGGTGAGTCCTGACCCCATGGAACTCCTCCCTTCCCCAGAGACCCCTGGAACCTTGTGTCTAGTTCCAGCTGCTGTGGGGCCCTGGGGTGGGGGGGGCTCAGCTCAGCCAGCTCCTCCGGCCACTCCGGGAGGGCCTCAGCGCCGCCCCTGTCGCTTCCTCAGCGCCCGTCCCTGATCGTGAGCTGGTGGGCATCATCGGCGGCAACAACGCCCCACAGGGGAAGTGGCCGTGGCAGGTCAGCCTGAGAATCTACGCTTACCACTGGGCCTCCTGGGTGCACATCTGCGGGGGGTCCCTCGTCCACCCGCGGTGGGTGCTGACCGCCGCCCACTGCATATCCCGGTGAGTACCCCACGCTGCTGTCCAGCTCTGGGTGGGACGTGGCAGGGGAGTCAGGGCTCACGGGAGGACCCAGTCTGGAACTGCCAAGGCCACCCCCCGTGGTGGCTACCCCCGGGGGACCCACCTCCGTGGCTTCTTTTGACCCCAGGAAGGAGGCCGACCCCTCCGCCTACCGCATCCACGCCGGGAATGTGTACCTGTACGGGGACAGGGCGCTGCTGAACGTGAGCCGTGTCATCGTCCACCCTGACTACGTCTCTGCCGGCCTGGGCGCGGACGTCGCCCTGCTCCAGCTGTCGAACTCTGTGGAAGGCGCTGCTAACGTCAAGCCGGTCAGGCTCTCGTCAGCCCAGCTGGAGGTCATCCCGGAGGACCAGTGCTGGGTGACCGGCTGGGGCTCCATCAGGATGCACGGTGAGTCCGGGGTGGGGGCCGTCATCCCTGGGAACTCCTGGGGGGCGGGTGGTGGCGGGTGGTGGCGGGTTCCGGGAAGGAAAGAGAAGGGGCCACCGGGCGCAGGGGCGGGGTCTCTGGCCTCATCTCCCGCCCACCCCAGCCCTCCTCTCCGGAGGGAGATCTGACCCAGTGGCAGGACGCGCTACCAGCCCCCGGTGGCTTCTCTCCCCAGAGCCGCTGCCCCCGCCTTACCGCCTGCAGCAGGTGACAGTGCAGGTGGTGGAGAACGGCGTCTGTGACCAGCTGTACCACAACGCCTCCGAGCACCACCAGCTTGGGAAGATCATCCAGGATGACATGCTGTGTGCGGGCACCGAGGGCCGAGACTCCTGCTACGTGAGTCCCATCCTGGGCCCCGCCCAGCCCCTGCTGCGGGGGGTGGGGGCCGGGGGACCGCTCAGCCCTCCCTCTCCTCCCGCAGGGCGACTCTGGGGGCCCCCTGGTCTGCAAGGTGAAGCGTGTCTGGTACTTGGTGGGCGTGGTCAGCTGGGGCTACGGCTGTGGCCTGCGCAACATCCCTGGGGTCTACGCTCGCGTCCAGACCTACGAGCCGTGGATCACGCGGCAGATCCAGAGCAGCCCCTGAATCGGCCTGGGGCAGCGGCTCCCGCCTCCTCCTGGCACCTGCTGCTTCAGCCCTGGCCCCTGGCCCCTGGCCCCGGACTGGGCCCCACCTTCTCGTCTGCTCTTCTCCGTGTCCACAGCTTCCCAGACCACCAGCGGATGGAGCAGGGAGATGCTGGGGAGCGGGGTGAGAGGCCACTGGGGCGAGGGCGCCTCATCCTGCTGTCTCTGTCCGATTAAAGAGCTTGAGGAATGTCCGAAGTGTGGTCAGAGTCTTTGTGGGACGGGCTGACCATGGGCAACGTGGCTTTCCAAGGGAGTGTGTCCCCCAGCCCCCATGTGCAGAGGGCTGCCCTGGGGCGGTGTCCTTCCAGGCTTGGAAAGGGACAGCGAGGCTCTCAGTGCCGGCTCCACTCCGGGGTCACAGCCTCTAGCTCTGTCCCGCCCCGGAGGTCACTCTGGTACGGTGGGGGTCCCAAAGGGGACGGATCCGAGTCCCAGGATTTGGTCACTCACCCACCCATCCCTCCGTCCGCCCAACTTCTTTTGCAAGGCTTGTTCTCTGAATTAGCCAGTCACCATGCAAACGTGACCTGGATGTGACTCGGGTGTCTCTCCCCATCCCGGGAGATGTCTGCTTGTTGGGTGCGAGCCTTCCCTGACCCTCCCAGGGTGCCCTCTCAGGTTGGCTCTGAGTTCCAGACGCTGGGCTCCGTGGGAAGAAATGCCCACTGGCAGCTGGGATCAGGGAGCCAACAGGCTGATGCTCCGGCCCTGGGGAGCAGGGGGCAAGAGGAGGCCAGAACGTGGGTGTGCTTTCCTGGGCTGCCCCAGAGCGGGCCCCACGGCCATGACAGAGAAGTCTCTGGACACTCACCTTGGCGGGGTGTTGGGAGCCGCGCCAGGGACAAGTCACACCTTCCCCAGCCTTACCCACGGTCCTGAGGAACTAGTGGCCTGAGCCCCATGGGGGTTCACGGCTCTAGGCATCCCGCAGGACTAGAAAGCTTTTCCACACAGGTGAACGGACAAGTGAATTACGAGTGTGTGCCCAGGTGGAAACAGGAGTAGCTGCAGGTCTCCCTCGGTGGGGGAACGGGCCGTGCGGATGTGTCCACTGACCCCTGTGAGATGAGTCTGAGCCTGGGGTGGATCGGTCAGCGCCTGGGAACTCCTGGACTCGGGTCGTGGGGATCTGCCGGCCCGCCGTGGGGACACGCCGAGGGGCCGAGGGGCCAATGCAGGACATTCCTGACCGTTGACGACAGGGGAGAGGCTGGGCCCTCGGCAGGCAGCACAACTGGTAGGATCTGGGGTGGTTTTACTTCTTGGCCGTGACCTTCCAGACATCTGTATCTTCTGTTCGGAAGAATAACATGTCTGTAACCGGGAAACAAATTACGATTTTTACCACGAAGACAAGAGAAATTTTCTGGTTGGGTTTTTAAACCACGGAAGTGCGAGCTTGAGCCGCCTGGTAAAGCACTCCTGTGCAAAGGCCCTGGGGCTGGGGAGGGCATGGCTGAGCAGCCGTGGAAGGCTGTGGTACCAGTTTGGTGGAGAAAAACACCCCGGAGCTTGGGGCGCCTGGATGGCTCAGTGGGTTAAGCCTCTGCCTTCAGCTCAGGTCATGATTCCAGGGTCCTGGGATCGAGCCCCGCATCGGGCTCTCTGCTCAGCAGGGACCCTGCTTCCGCCTCTCTCTCCTGCCTCTCTGCCTGCTTGTGATCTCTGTCTGTCAAATAAATAAATAAAATCTTTAAAAAACAAAACACCCCAGAGCTCGATGGCGGGAGGGCGGACAGCACTGGGAATGCACTCAAGGCACTGAGCTGTGCACTCGCGCTGGTCCAGGAGTGGAATCGACGTGTCCTGCATGAGAACGTGCTCACACACGCGAAGGCCCGCGCCAGTGCCTGCATTTATGAGGGGCCCGGCGAGGGGCCGAGGGCACAGTCTGAGCCAGACGGAGGGCCGCCCGCCCAGCACGGGCCACTCTGTGAAGAGCCAGACCTCCCGGCCCATGGCTGCCCTGCGCCCCCCAGGGCTGGCCCCTCTGCCTTCCACCTCCCCGGATGGACAGCATTTGCGGGAAGCCAGAGGCCACAGGGGCGGGGGCAGGAAGGGGAGTGGCTGCCGGAGATAAGACGCGCTCAGGTGTCGTCCGCCTTGCCAGAGTCAACAGGGACACAGCTCCCTGGGGCCGGCAGCTCCCGGAACCTCCCAGGCCTTCCCGCTCTGTGTTTGTTCTGCACCCGGACTAGGCAGACACTGAAGGTCACTCCGGGCCGGGCTTCTCACCTCAGATCCCACCCCGTTCCCCGAAGCCTGATCCCTGACCCCTGGTGTGGCCTTGCCTTGCTGGGATGGCTGTGTCCCAGAGCCTGGGGCTGGGCCCCGGGGGGCCAGGGAGCCACCAGGCCCTCTTCCCCGAGTGCAGGGCAGGAGACAGAGCTGACAGCAGGACCCTGAGGGGGCCGGCTGGGAGGGACAGCTGTGTGACCACGGTTGTGTGACACCATTGCCCATCAGTGGGACCCAGCCAGCAGTCACAAGTGGGGAGTCTCCCAGGGAGGAGGCCGGTGGTGTCTGGGACAGTAACTTATCTTCAGGGGGCCCTGGGGTCACTTCCTGGCAGAGGGGACAGGGCTCTAGCCTGATGGGAGCACAGCCAGGGCAGAAAGGAGCAGCTCTGTGTCAGGGAGCAGGTCCCAGCCTGGGACCTGGGTCTCAGTGATGGCACAGACCACGTGGCAGGGACGGCTGACCTTTCTTATCTGTCCCTGGCAGGCAGTGAGGGGTGGAGAGGTCTCCAGGGAACATCAGGAACCAAGCAATCACCTTGGCTGGCTGCCAGCACCTGGGGAACCTGGGATCCCTGTGCTCTGGATCCCTCTGCTTGACCCCCACCCCAACGCCCTAGTACCGCCCTCACACCAGCAGCCAATGGCTTCTGTCCCTGCCGTGATGCCAGGGACAGGGAAGAGATGGGAGACCAAGAGGGATGGGCTGGGTGTCGCTCTAGGCCAGCGTGACACCATGCCAGAGTCAGGAGCCACAAGGCTCACGGAGAACCTAGAATCCCTTGCGGGCTGCGGCCGGCATCTGTCCCGGTGAGGAGGGGGCTGTGGGGAGCAGGAGGGGCAGGTGTCCCCTCTCCAGCCCCCTGTCTGCATGCGCTCATTTCCGGGGCGGGGGTGGTGCGGACCCCCACAAGGGCAGGGTCACCGGCTGGGGGCCACCTGGTTCATCCTCTCTGGAGCCCCCGGTCTTGGCTGTGGGGACACCTGTGGGGAGGCTGGTCCCGCAGCCCCCCACCCCTGCCCACTGGGCTTCCCGCACCCTCCACCCCTGCCTCTGCCTGCAGATGTGGCTCCTCCCGGTGCTCCTCATGCTCCCATTCCTGGGAGAAAGGGGTGAGTCCCCAGGCCAGAGCGCCCAGCTGCCTGGAACCCGGGCCTCTGACTGGGGGGACCCTGTCCACGCCCCCCCCACCCGGGGCCTCCTGCAGCCACACGCACCCTCCACGGTCCCTCCTGGGCTCCTTGCTTCCCGGCTCCCCGGGAGACGGGGCGGGGGAGGGGGACACTCGATCCAGACCGTCCTTGGGGCCCCCCACAGCCCGTACCAGCGGGTCTGTGTGCGGGAACCGTCACAGCCGTGTGCCCTGCCGTAACCGTCAGCTCTCAGGGTCCTTTACCTTGGAGCAGCTCCTCCGTGTGGGACTCAGGAGGACATCGACGCACGGGCTGGGAGACCGAGGCTTCCGGGCTGCCCCCCCTCCCCAAGCCGGGCCGGGACCACAGGCAGGACTTTCTGCCAACTCCTGTTATTTATGCTTCAAAATCGTAGCCGTGGAAACGCCGTCCAGGGCAGGAAGACGGGAGGTCCGCCTCCTTCTCCAACCCGGTGCCGCCAGCCACCCTCAGGGGCTGCTGACGTCTCGATTACTTACAATTCAGATGAAAAAGTCCGGTTCCCAGTCCCAGGGACACCTCCTTCCCGTGGCCAGGGGCCTGGCCCGCACTGGCCCGCACGCAGAGCAGGCGCACCGCCGTAGAGAGTTGCACTGGGCCGTGCTATCTGCGGTTCAGAGAGCTGACCACGGGCTACAGTGTCCGCACTGGAGGCGGGAGGAGGGCCCAGCTCTCCGCCCCGGACCTGGGTCCTGTTTTCCCAGAGGAGGCCGGCCGGTGACCCCGTCTCTCCACCAGGGAGCGGCTTCACCCCGGCAGTGGCCCTGGCAGGTCAGCCTGCGTGACCGGGGCCAGCATGTCTGCGGGGGCAGTCTCATTGGCCACCAGTGGGTGCTGACCGCTGCCCACTGTGTCTCCAGGTGAGTCCGGCCTCCCCACACCGGGTGGCCCGGGCCGTGAGATGCCACGGGGCCGCGCGCGGGGAAGGGGATGGTGGCTGCGGAACGGCACCTGGGCCCAGGTGGCTCGGAGACCCGCGGCGGGGGCTCGGCGCCTCAGACGCCGGACACTCCTTTCAAATTAGGAAAGAAAACACACTTTATTTATCTGAAGGTACTTGGAAGTCACGAACTTGTTTCCAATTTTGGGGACTCTGGTTAAAGGCACAGCCTAAGACCGATCATCTCAATCCTTTCTCGGTGCGCAGTTCACACTGCTGAGGGACCCCCCCTCCCACCTGGGAACACCTCTGTCCTCCCAAACTGAAGCTCTGTGCCCATAAGCTCTCAGGCCCCCCTCCCCGGCCCAGCACACCCCTCCACTTCCGTCTCCATGGTTCTGATGACCGCAGGGACCTCATCGCAGCCAAATCCTACAGTCCATGTTCTCCAGAGTCTGGCCTGTCGCACGGAGCGGAAGGTCTTCAAGGGTCAACCACATTATGGCAGCGAGTGTCAGAAATTCCCTCCTTCTATTGCTGGACGTTGCCCCGCTGTGTGCACGCGCTGCATTTACTTGATTCATTCCTCCCCGTTACAGCGATTGTGAGTCTCGCTGCCCAGCACGGGGCTGCGAGGAAGTAGAGAACGTTCCAGAGCTAGATGCCCCTTCGTGATACTTGAAAACAAAAAGCAGAACAAAGCTATCGTAAAGCAATCGAGTACTGAATTCTATAAAAAGAGACTCCACAATCAAGGTGGGTCCCTCCCGGAGCTAAATTATGGGGTCAGCTTAACCTTAGCAGACATGATAATTAAAACACAATCGGCTGGTCCCAGGTGTCATTTTGGGGTAAATAAGCCTTTGCCATTTCGTGCTGGGGCTGTTCCTGGAATGTCCTCGGGAGATGTCCAGTCCTGGAAATCATGACCGACGGCTACCGGGGGCTTCCTGCCCCAGTGCACAGTCCCAAGCACACTCAGGACAACCTCCGTAGGTAGACACTTTTACCCCCAGGTTCCAGGATGGGAAACTGAGGCACAGAGAGGTGAGTAATTTGCTTGAGACCGTATCACAAGCAAAAGGCAGTTGATGTGGACCCCAAGGAAAGAGACACTGGGGTTAGTGGCAGTCCTGCTGGGACAGCTTATCCCTCCGGGGCACAGGCCTCAGGCAGAGAGTGCATGGTTCCCTGAGGACCTGCACTTTCAGCACAAGCTCCTGCTCTCTGCACTTCCAAATGGGTCCTCCCGGCGGGAGACACGCTGCCTGCCCACCTGCTGTCCTCAGATGCTGGTGGGGGGCCTGCTGACACACTCCATGAGTTCTGCAGCCCCCCAAACGCAGCTCCCCCAACTTGCACCCCTGCCTGCTCTGTGGGGTCACCACCCCAGCCCCTGACGAGAACGTGGTCTCCCTGCCCACCACTCTGGCTCAGCCCGACCCTGCTCCCCCAGAACCCCGACCCACCATCTTGGCACTGCGCCCCGGCTGTCCGTCTGGCCCAGAAGAGCAGGGCTGTGTCCGCTCTGTCCCCACCAGGACAGGCCCTGCCGCTGGGAGGGCTCGCCACAGCCCAAGGCTGATCTCCGTCACCAGGAGCTGGACTTCTCAGGAACAAGGACCCAGGGGGAGCCCTGTGCTCCTGTGATCCGACTCAGAAGGCCAGGGTAGAGCAGAGGGTCCTTCGGCACCACGCCCCCACCCCAGCAGAGCTAGCCGCGTGAAACCAAGCCACCAGCCTCCGCCCTCCGAGCCCACCAGGCTCCGCGAGCCTGCAGGACCTGAGGGTCCAGCTGGGAGAGGCTGCGCTGTACTCCCGTCCCCGGGGCTCCATCTCCGTGGCTGTCGTCCGCGCCATCCAGCACCCCTTCTTCACCGGGGACGCTCTCCAGGGCGGTGATGTGGCTCTTGTGAAGCTGGCACGCCCCGTGCCTTTCTCCAGCACCATCAGACCCATCGCCCCGGCTCCACCAGGCTCAGACTTCCCTGCAGGCTCCCTCTGCTGGGTGACCGGCTGGGGGGACGTCCAGCAGGACGGTGGGTGAGGGGCAAGGGGCTGGGGGCTCGGGGAGCTGGCCCGAGGGGAAGGCACTCCAGGGGCGGAGGGAGTCACCCCAGTCTCCTCTCTGAGCCTCAGCTCATGGTAGAGGCTGGCCCAGGTCTCATCCTGCACGACTCAGCCCTGCCTTGGTCCCGCATCCGCCCCCCCAATGTTAGGACAGGAACGTGGGCCCCGGGAACAGACGCCATGGAGCTGCTGCTCTGGGCTGTCCACAGGGAGCTGGCTGGGGGCTCGGCGGCACATCACCTCGTGGCCCCTGAGAGCGCCTAAGCCGCTGTCCCTGTGTTCCACAGTGGCCCTGCCTGAGCCCCGCAGGCTGCAGGAGGCAAACGTGCGCGTGGTTGGCCTAGACAGCTGTCGCAGGCTCTACTACCCAGAGCCCATCACCAAGAACATGCTCTGCGCTGGTGACGTCCAGGGCCAAAAGGGATTCTGTGAGGTCAGTCCCGTCCAACCCGCATTCCTGCCCCTGATGCACCGCAGGCTCTGGGAGAGTCACTGGACCCCCCCCAAAGGCCTCAGTTTCCCCCAAAGTGCAGCGGGAGTAAGGGAGCGGAGCCCCCCCTTTCACAGGGAACCTGTGATGTACCTCCCTCCTCTGTGCTTAGCCAAAGGCTCTGGTCACCTCCCTAACCCTAAGAGACCCTGGAAAGCAGGCGGGATCCTGGGCTTGGGGCAGGGGTGGCATCTTCCGATCTAGCTCCCCGAGGCCAGGGACTTTTCTCACCCAAGGTAGAACAGCGTCTGGCTTGGAACCGGACTTGACAGTATTTCTTGTAAGAATGAGTCCAGAGCCATCCTGACAAAAAAAAAGCAGAACGCGCGGGCTCCAGCTGTCATAGGATGTGAGCAGGTGTGGCAGGGGTGAGAGGGACAGGGGTCCAGGACCAGAGACGCCAGGCGACCTGTAAGGGAGGCAGAGTGCATTGGAAGAAGCAGGAAGGCTTTGGGAGAACAACAACAGCAACCATAAAAAAGCGACTGCATCCCAGCACTGCTTTTACTAGCTGTGCAACCTTCAGCAAAGTGCTTGACCTCTCTGAACCGTTAAAAACAAACAAAAAAGAGGCAGCTAGAGCTGATACGCAGGCTGCAGGGAGGAACAGCTCCAAGATGGAAACTGGGGCGACCACGCCTGCTACCTAGAGCCCCAAGGGGACCTCCCCCTGCCTCCAGCATCCGACCGGCTCCCAGGTGCTCCCTGACGTTAGCCTCAGTCTGAGAGCTCCCACCCCTGCCGCGCAGACCAGAGTCCCACTGCCCCATTTGTCATTCCTGTTTCCTTCAGGGCGACTCCGGGGGGCCCCCTGGTCTGTCAGCTGCGGGACAGGCGCTGGGTGCCGGCAGCGGTGGTGAGCTTCAGCAGGGGATGTGCTGAGCCCGGACTCCCCGGGGTGTATGCCCGGGTCTCTTCCTACTGGGCCTGGATCCAGCGCCACCTGCTCCCGCCCGGGCACTTTCGCAGGAACTTCCGCAGGGGCTGACCCCTCCCCTCTCATCGGCATTCTTCCACGTGTCTCCCACGTGCCCGAGCGCCCCTTCTCCCTTCCGTCCCGCTGGCTTTGCCGCTCGCGCTCCATCACCGCCGCCTGCCCCGCTCGGTGCTCCCGGTCCCCACCCGCCCCCGGAGCCCACGTCCCGGCTCTAGCGGAGAGAGAGAAGCGGGCGGGAGGCGGGCGGTCTGCCTGGCACCTGCTGAAGGATGGAAGCACGAGGGGGGCGTGGGGGCGGCCGGGGGCGGCCACCGCCGGTCCGCGCGGAATAAATGCTTGGCTCCCTGCGCCTCCGGTCACTTCCTTCCAACCGTGGGAGAGCGGCAGGACCGCGCTTGCCCCAGGCAGAGACCGCGCGGGTGCGCTGCACGCGGGGGGCGTGGGCGGGGCCGGCGGGGGTCGTCGGCGGGGTCGGCCGGGCCGGCGTGGGCGGGGCCGGCCCTCCCAGGAGACGCCCGGGGCTCCAGCCAGGCCGCGGCGGCCGCTAGTCGAACCATTCTTCTCCGGCCTGTCGGCGTCTCTGCAAGAGTTTTCAGTTTGCGGCTTAACGCCGGACTCCGCCGGGGCGCGGGACACCCGCCGAGGGAGCACAGAGGCCGGGAGCCCGGGGCGCAGCCGGGCAGGGCGGGAAGCCGCTCCCTGCTCCCCGCGCCGCCTGCAGCCCCGGCACCGCCCCCGCTTTCTCCATAGCCCCGCCCCCAACGCGCGCGGCCCCGCCCCGTCCCCTGCAGCCCCGCCCCCGCCCCGCTGAGCCCCGCCCCCTCTCCGCAACCCGACCTCCCGCCGGCTCTCCGCAGGGGGCGGAGGGGGGTGATCCCGCCGCAGAGGGACCCCGGCCCCGCAGGGGGCACACAGGCCCCTCCTGACCGGTCTGAGGGGCTGCGCGTCCGCGCTCTCCCATTGGCGGCTGGAAGGGAGGGGCTTGCTGGCTGGGGGCCGGCTCTCCCTCTCTCTCAAATAAATAAATAAATATGTATATTTTATTTATTATTATATATTTAAAGATTTTATTTGTTTATTTGACAGAGATCACAAGTAGGCAGAGAGGCAGGTAGAGGGAGAGGGAGAAGCAGGCTCCCCACTGAGCGGAGAGCCGCATGCGATCCCAGGACTCTGCGATCATGACCTGAGCTGAAGGCAGAGGCTTTAACCCACTGAGCCACCCAGGCGCCCCTAAATATGTATATTTTAAACACTTCATCTGCTAGAGACAGAGAGAGAGAGAGGGAGACAGCAGACTCCCCGCTGAGCAGGGAGCCCCACTCCAGGACCCGGAGATCAGGACCTGAGCCAAAGGCAGAGTCCTCACTGACTGAGCCACCCAGGCGCCCCGACCAAAATCTTTAAAAAAAAATTCAAGTGTCCAAATCGATGGGTCAGACAAATGCATGAAATCAAGTAGCCGCCACCACGATCAAGTTTAGACACGGTTCCCTCTCTCCCTCTTTGCCCTCCTGTGTCCCGCACCCCCAGCAGAACAGTCCCACAGGGAGGCAGGACAGAGGAGGGGCTGAGGGCAGGCCCCACCTGGTGCTCCTGCGCACCCCGAAGCTGTGGGCTCTTGTCCGCCCTTCGTCTGGCGATGAGTGGCCGGCTCAGGGACACAGACCACAGCACGACCAGGTCAGACCCGAGGTGCCCTATGTGCAAACTGTGGCTTCCTCCTCAGCCAGGCGGGGGTGGGGATCGGTGCCCCCCACCTCCAGGAAGCCATCCCCAGACTCCCCGTCCCCACACCCGCCCGGGGCTCCCGTGGTCTCCGCCGCACATCAGATGGGCACAGCGCCCAGCTGCCTGGCTCAGGGCGGGCCCTTCCTAACGGTCCTCCGTGTGGCCAGGGCCTCATGACTGAACCGCTGCGAGGCCCTGGGAGGGGCCGGACTTGCCTGCACCCGACCTGGGTTTGAGAAGGAAACTCTGAAGACCATCTGGGGAGCCCCTCCATGTCCCTGACACCGTGCCCTTTCTGTCCCCTTTGACAGGAGAGCAAACTGAGGCACAGGGAGGGGTGTTCTGTCCCTGCATGCCTCCCCGCTCTGGTCCCCGGATGCCCTCCTGGGTGGGTGGGCTCTCCTGCTGCCCAGATGTGGCTCATGTGGGCCTGTGCAGTGGACCCTCAGTCCAGGAGGACCCCTCCTCCTTGTTCCCACCCTCACGCTAGCTGCTCAGTTGGCTCAGGCTGTCGTTTGGCCTTGACCTTTCCTTGTCTGAGCTGGGCTTAGCTGATCTGTGAACAGGAGCTGGCTGTGTGGGCATGGTTTTCAGGGATATGGGACACCCCAGGTGTAGGTTCATCCTCTGCCCTGCTCCCCTCCCCGGCCCCAGGGCTGCTCAGGTCTGCAGCTCTGGGCTTGAAGGACCCTAATCCCGTCTTTCTGCACCCCCCGCCACCCCGTCCCCACTGAGCCTCGTGGGCTGAGGAAGGCTTGGACGTGCAAAGGCGAAGAAGGCTCCTGACTTGGTCCTAGAACCTCTCGTGACATGGAGATCCGTTCTAGAAGGATTAGAGGCAAACTTGTGTGTACACGTGAATGAATAAGAATTAAATCTGCAGTCTATAACACAAACACCTCCAATTTTACAAAGCAGACAAAACAGTTTTTAGCAACTGTGAAAACCAAAGCATAAAGGTGTTCATTTAGTTAAAAATCTCCAAATGCTGAAAAGAAGCCTAGAGCTCTATCTGACAGAGGAAGGGCTGAGCCAGAGGCGACAAGCCACTGACCGGCACAGGGACGCTCCCAGCTGCCCCAGAAAGGAGACGCACGCAACTCTCGAATGGAAAGGGGGCCTCCCGATGGCAGTGTGGGGGCTGCAGGGGGTTCAGGGAAGAGGGAGGAGGTGGGCGGGTGGACAGACGGGGTGGGGGGCCAGGGTCTATATGTGTGGACTGGCAGGCATCCTAGTCATCCAGAGCCTAGGGAGCCAACCGTGCGCCCCTAGGCGGAGGGGTGTGTGTGTGTGTGTGTGTGTGAGAGAGAGAGAGACTCATCCTCTGCTTGGCTCTATGCCCACCCTTGGGGCCTGGGGACACCCAGATGGGCATCTGGGTGGTGGGGACATGTGCCTGCCATAGGAGGGCCTTCCTCTGAATCGTCCACTCCCTTGACCCTGGATTGGAGGATGCAAGGGCCCTCCTCTGACCACATCCCAGCCAGGAAGGATAAATGGGCAGGGGAGAGTGGGCTGAGTTCACAGCAGCAGTGGTCGGCCAAGGTAAGCCCCCCACCCGAGACCCCAACATCTGGGTGTCGCGGTGGAACAGAGCAGAGGAGCCCCAGATCCAGAGCATCGAGACCCAGCCCCCTGGGACTTGACTGACCCCCCCCCGATTCCGGGGGCGGGAGGCGTCACGCCATCCGCACGCCATACCCTGCAGACCCCAGCCAGGCCCCACTGCCCCCACCCCACACTGCTCCTTTCAGATGCCGAGTCTGCTGGCACTGGCGCTGCTGCTCCTGGGGAGCCTGGTCCACTTGGCCCCTGGTGAGTTCTGACCTGGGCCTGCCCTGGCCCTGCCCCCTCACTCCGCACGCCCAGCGATGACTGGGTGGATGGTGCAGAGAAGCCCAGGGTCGGGTGGGGCAGGGAAGGGCCCGGGCCAGGCCATGTTCTGTGCTAAAGGCGCTTCTCACCCCAGCTTCAGGCCGGGCGCTGGAGCGAGTGGGCATCGTAGGGGGGAAGGAGGCCCCCGGGAACAGGTGGCCCTGGCAGGTGAGCCTGAGACTTCACGAAGGTTACTGGAAGCACATCTGCGGGGGCTCCCTCATCCACCCACAGTGGGTGCTGACCGCAGCGCACTGCCTGGGACCGTGAGTGACCCCGGGGCCTGGGGGTGCTGGGGCTGCCTGGAGCTCCCCTGGAGCAGCCTGCTCAGGCCCCAGGGGCCCGCCTGCTCTCCCCAGGCACGTCACGTACCCTGAAGAAGTCAGGGTCCAGCTGAGGGAGCAGCACCTCTACTATGGGGACACGCTGCTGCCCGTCAGCCGGGTCATCGCGCACCCCTCCTTCTACATTACTGAGAACGGGGCCGACATCGGCCTGCTGGAGCTCGAGGACCCGGTCAACATCTCCCACCACGGGCAGCTGGCCACCCTGCCCCCGGCCTCAGAGACCTTCCCCACGGGGACGCCGTGCTGGGTGACAGGCTGGGGGGACGTGAAAAGTGGAAGTGAGTGTCAGGGGCAGCTGGAGGGCTAGGGTGAGCAGGGGCGGGTCGAGGCCCTGACCCAGCCTCTGGGACCCCCGCTGGGGGGCTTAGGGCCACGGTAGCTTTGCCCTCCTGACATTGCACGCTTGCCTCTCCCTCCAGCGCCCCTCCCGCCGCCGTTCCCCTTGAAGCAGGTGAAGGTGCCCATCGTGGAAAATGGCATTTGTGACGCACAGTACCACCTTGGCCTCAACACTGGGGACAACACACAGATCGTCCGTGAGGACATGCTGTGCGCGGGGGGCCACAAGAGGGACTCGTGCCAGGTGGGCCCTCACGTCCTCCCCAGCCCCCACCCCCCCACTCCCCAAGCCCCCACTGACTCGGTCCCCCCCAGGGCGACTCCTGCCAGGTGCGTCCTCACGTCCTCCCCCAGCCCCCAGCCCCCTGCCTCGCGAGGCTCCACTGACCTGTCCCCTCCCCAGGGCGACTCCGGAGGGCCCCTGGTCTGCAAGGTGAGGGACACCTGGCTGCAGGCGGGCGTGGTCAGCTGGGGCGAGGGCTGCGGTCAACCCAACCGGCCGGGCGTCTACACTCGGGTCACCTACTACTTGGACTGGATTCACCAGTATGTCCCCAAAGATCCTTGAGCCCAGGCCCCGGAGCTGCCACCCGGATGGGCGCAGAAGCCAGCCTGCTGCTATCCCACAGCAGTGCCCAGGTGGCGTCCTTCCGCCCACCTTCCCCATGCCCTGTTGGGGAGCCCCTGGTTGGCACAAATCCTCATTAAAGTGGATGGAAGCAGACATGGTTGTTGGTTGTCGCTGCGGCTTGAGTCGCG